CCCGGATCGCCCTGCTTGATGGCGGCGGAGCCCGAGCTGGGGGAAGCGGAGCGACCTGAGTTCACGTGGCTCCTAAGCTGCGGAGCTCAGGTCTGACTGCCGAGGTCAAGGGTCTTCGGGGTACCTGTGCCCTGGGATGATGCCCTCCCTGTCGCACCTCCCACCCCTGCCCTTTTCAGCCCCAGGCAGTGGGTGCGCTCAGGAACTCCGCCGCCCTCCTACCTGCTGGGCCTGCTCCCCGGAGTCCTCCCCGCTGAGCTGGGTCTCCCCTGGCCTCCCACAGGTCCCCCGGCTGCCTTCTCTTAGAACACAGCCCACGCTGTGCTCCACAACCTGCCTCCGCACCCCGATCTCCTAGGCCTAGGGGGCGGGGAAGCTCTTAGTAGTCTCTGGGTTCTCATGCCTGGTACGCGAGGGCACACAGTGGGTGCTCAGAAGGGTTTGCTGAAGGGATGAAGTCATTAAGAGATGAGCACCAACACTAAAAGGGCCCTGTGTCCACTAGAGAGAGAGCCCCGGGAAGAGGCAGTAGAGGGAGAAACAGGAGACCTGAGTTTCAGTCCTGGCTCTGCCGGCCAGAGTGCTGTGTGATCCTGGTGCGGCCTTCCCCTCTCTGAGCTTCAGTCTCCCGTCTGTACACTGGAAGTGCCTTGGTCAGGTGTCCTTCGAGGTTGCCCGAGCTCAGCCACTGGTTCTGTGCTTGCCAGGGGTGGACAGGGAGGTGGGCAGGGGAGCTGTCCCAACACCGCGCTGGCCCTGACCCTTTCCCTTGGCCTGTCCTGGCAGCACTGGGGACCTGCCGTGCAGACGAGTTCCAGTGTGGGGACGGAGCCTGTGTCCCTGCAGTCAAGCGCTGCAACCAGGAGCAGGACTGCCCAGACGGGAGTGATGAAGCTGGCTGCCTAACGGGTGCGTGCGGTCGGAGCAGAGGGGCAGCATCCTCCACGAGCGCCCCGGGCTCTCCCCAACTCCAGCGGGGAGAGCAGAGTTGGCAGCTGCCTCCCCTTGGTCCCCGAGATGCATCTTCCCCCGAGTATTGTCTGTTCCCACACCACCCTGACCCCCTCCCTGGGGTCCTAGTGGCGCCAGGACTAGATGTTTAAGGACTGCAGGAAAGGGCACTGCCGGAAGTCCAGCCCCACCATTTGTCCAGGTCCAAGTCTGCAAGTGGCTTTTCTCACTTGTTCCCAGACTGAGCAGAGGCTGTCCTCCCAGGGAGCCCCCTAATCCTCAGATGGCTCTTCTGGTCGTCATTCACCCCTGCAGGAGGAGAGGCCCTAACCTGCTGGTCATCACTCACCCCTGCAGGAGGAGAGGCCCTAACCTGCTGGTCATCTGGGGAAGTGGGCAGTGAGGCAGCCTCCCCTCCCCAGGCCCCTGGACATAGGTTCCCCCAGGAGATGCTCAGTCCAGCCCCCAGGGTGTGTTGAGCTGATGCTTTTCCCTCCCTGGGCCCTGGTACTGCAATATCAGGTACAGACCCCAGCCCTGCCCAGCCGCATGGCGCCTGGGCCTGATCAGCCTGGGGTCCCGCCCCGTGAGCAGAGCTCCCACCAGCCCTTCACTCAGCTGTCTGTCCTGGGCCACGCTCTGGAGATGCTGGGGCTGGAGCTCTGCTCACCTCCCTGGGCCCAGCCTAGCCCTCCCTGCCGAAGGCCTCACAGGAGCTGTCCACTCTCTTGTCTGGCCCAACAGAGTCCACATGTGAGGGTCCCCGCAGATTTCAGTGTAAGAGTGGCGAGTGCGTGGACGGCGGGAAAGTGTGTGATTCGCAGAGGGACTGCCGGGACTGGTCGGATGAGCCTCTGAAAGAGTGTGGTACAGTACCTGTCTGCACCCAACTGCCGGACTAACCCCCTCCACACCCCTCCTGGCAGCCAGGCCACGGCCCTCGCCTGCCCCAGGCACCCGTTCCTCTCTGGCCCTCTCTCTGGCCCCCACTGTCCTGTGGCCTCTGACGGAGCTCCCTGCTTTGGGGGCCCTTGTCCTGCATCTCTACAAAGAGAACGGCCTCTCCTGCCCAGTCCAGCTGCTCATAGACATGCTTCCTCTCACAAACCCAGCCTCTCCTCCTCCTTCCACATGCCGACCTCTGAGTGTGTGCTCACGCTGGAACCTTCTCTCTTACTCCGTGTTTCTGCCCTGCTGACCTGCAGGAGGCGAGGTAGGGAAGAGCAGGCAGGTGTCCATCTGGCTCAGGCCAGGCCTGGGTGAGGGCGGCATCATCCTGAGCCCTGAGGAGCTTAGACTTCCTGGGACCCAGACTCACAGGCTGGACTAGAGTGAGGAGCAGAAGGAGATGGCGTCCTGATGGCTGGAGCTGTCAGGGGGGTTCCCAGGCTGAAAAGAGCAGGAGTCTGGGCTGCAGGTGGGTGGGCACCTCAGAGAAAAGGCAGAAACCATTTCTGAGGTCAGGGGTTTGGACGGAGCCTCGGTCAGGCCCTCCCTCCCTCCCTCCTTCCTTCCTGGCAGACCCGTTGTCACCCAGCACCTCCCTCCAGGGCGCTCAGAGGAGCTTCATTCTCTGGAGCACCACAGGAACGAGCAGCATGTTGCTGCCCCTGTTGACGATTTTAAAATTGATTTTGAAAGGAAGAGGAGCTGGGTGAAGGTCACAGCCTGCACCTGACCTTGCAGGTGACAGACTACCTCCCCCCTCCCTGCAAGGCCCTGCCAAGAAAAGTCCCAGAAGATAGAAGAGGATAGGGGAGCAGGAGCAACTGAGCCTGCCCCGCCCCACCCCGCCCAGACAGGGAGCTAGCCAAGGGCCACTAACCCACTAAACTCTCTTCTCTCTCGTCTTTTGCATGACACGCCAAAGAGAAGTATGTACGCATGTGTTTGTGTCTCTGTGCTGGTGAGAGGCCAGTATCTGTATCCATGGCTCCTCCTCTGAGTCAGGCAAGGGAATTGCATCACGGACTCTGTGTGTGATCCCACGTCTGTGTGAGTGTGTCTGTGGAGTCCGTGGGCCTGTCTGCCTCTGCACGTAAGCTGGCGAGTGTGTGCATGCCCGTGTGCGCTGGTGTGTGCATGCCCGTGTGCAGTGTCACTGCCCTTCCTTCCATGGGGGACCTGAGGGACCTGACCCCCTCACCCCTCAAGTCCCCCAGAAGAATCACCTCCAGGCTAGATAGAACGGGGAAGGCCCAGAGGTTCCCTCCAGCCGCCACCTGGAGCTCACTTTCCAGGGAAGGGGGACAGGGACAGAAAGGGCCGCCATCCATTCTCACCCTGACCACCTCCGCCCTGGAGGACTCTGCTCTCCCGCTGCCCCTTTCCAAGCCACCCTACACCTGCCATTCCACCGGGGGCTCCTGTAAATACAAGTGTTGAGTTGCTGCTACCTGCAGAAGGAGAGGACGTGAGTGGGTGATGAGTGAAACAGGGAGTGAGTGGCGAAACAAATGAGTGGGTGGTGCTGAGGGAATACTATGGTGTGGGAGAGGTCAGCGAGGGTTTGGAGTGACAGCAAGATTCCTGGGGGTGGTGCTCCACCGATATCACCCCAAAGGTACCATGGCTTAGCCCATGCAAAGGGGCTGGGGCTTCCAGGGCTGGGCCTGGTTGAGTCCCTCCCAGGCATCCCCAGTCATGGGGTTGCTGTGGTCTTGTTCTTTCAGCTCTACCAGCATCTCAGGGAAACAGGAGGAGGCCCAGGGGTAAAGGGGAACATTCCCCAAGCATGGCTTAGGCTGGAGGTGGGGCACCACAGCTGTGCATGGCCTGGGGTAGGCAGCTCAAACCAGCTGTTTGCATGGTCACGGCTGGCTCCGCTCAGCTCTGCTTGGCGTGGCTGGAGTGGTGGTGCATGAGCCTGGAGGGCAGAGGGGTGGTGGCGCCTTCCCTTGGCTTGCAGAATTAACCTTCTGTGATCCTAAAGCTCAGAAGATGCTGTGAGAACTTGCGAGCCTTGGTCCTGGCCTCCCTGACCTCCTCTAGGACCCTGCCAGAAGGTGATGAGGGAGTGGATGACCAGATGACCTCCTGGCATCCCTTCATCCTTTGCAGGAGTTGGTAATCCCAGGACCCGGCCTGTGGCTAAGCATAGGAAAGACAGGTGCTGGAGGAGGGGTGAAAAAATCCATTGTAGTTCATGGTAGGAGGGCATTGACTGAGCAACAGCTCAGTATAGAAAAACACCTGGGGATCTTAGATAACCACACGCTCAGTACGGGGAGACTGTTCAGACTTCTGCACAGTGGGCTAGGTCTGGGCTCTGTGCAATTGGGACATGGACAGATGGGGTGTGTCCAGAGAAAGGGATCTGATTGGTAGGGATCAGAAATCAGTGCTTTAAAGAGCTTCTGAGGGAGCCGTTAGACTCTGGTCAGCCCCACACGCGGAGCTGGGAGCAGGAGCAGAAACCACAGAGAGGTGGTCCTGCGAGGAGGGACTTTGTTCCCTCAGAGGGAAGTGCTGCTGAGGCTGCAGGTGTTGAAGCGAGGGCGTTTCGGAGGGGATTGCTGGGGCATCCTGAGGGTTGGACATAGTACATGCAGGCCTCTTCCACTCTGAGGCCATGAGGAAGGAAGAGCTGGAAGAAACTTGTTTGTGAAAGGAAAAACCTTAGGCAGCCTAGCGGCCTGCAGCCTGGCAGAGAGCCCTGGCCTGGGAGGCAAAGGACCCGAGTTCTGGTTCCACTCTGTCCCTGCCTGTGTGTCTGGCCTGGAGCGAGGACCGCTCCTCTCTGACCCACCTCTTGCCCAGGCACCTGGTTGATGAGGCTGAGGTTCAGTGAGGCCACAGAGCATCCTGGCTCCTCGGCAGTCCCACTGCCCTGAGGCTCTGCTTCAGCCCTGGCCCACCCCTATCTGGCCCCCACCCCAGGCTGGGCTCCTGGACCCTCAGGAGCCCGTGTCTCTTTCCAGGGCTGAATGAGTGTCTGCACAACAACGGCGGCTGCTCCCACATCTGCAATGACCTCAAGATCGGCTTTGAGTGCACCTGCCCAGCAGGCTACCGGCTCCTGGACCAGAAGACCTGTGGCGGTGAGACCCTCCCCTCACACCCCCAGACAGAGGCAGAGCCTCCTGCCAGTCTGACCTCTGCTCCTCCCCACAGACATAGATGAGTGCGAGGATCCAGACGCCTGCAGCCAGATCTGTGTCAATTACAAGGGCTACTTTAAGTGCGAGTGCCACCCTGGCTACGAGATGGACACGCTGACCAAGAACTGCAAGGCTGTTGGTATGGACGCCCCAAGGTGTGGGGGGAGGGGAGCTCTGAGGAGGTACAGAAAGCAGTGTGCTTCCGTATAGGTGAGGAGTGGGTGTGCGTACACAGTACTAGGAGTGTACATACACGTTACACACGCTGCACTGCACACTAACACCCACACAGACACTACATAAAGCCCCCCGGTACAGCCCACAGAAACAACACATAGACAAACTGGACCATGCAGACTATCCACACAGCATAGGCAGCCCACACAAAGAGCATGGCATGTGCAGACCTAACTGGTCAGTTCAGCCAACTGTATTCATTCATTTTATTCAGTCCTTTGTACTGGACACCTAACGTGGTAGGCACTAGATTCAGCAGTAAGCAAAACAGACACACATCCTTGTCTGCCCTCATGGAAATTTCATCCTAATGGGTGAGACAGACAAGAAACCAGATAAATAAACAAAATACAGTGCATGGCCGAAAGTAATAAGGGTTACGGGGCAATTGAAAGCAGGGAAGGGGAGAGGGAAGTGCAGAAGGGCAGTGGCTTGCCGTTTGGGTAGAGTGGTCAGGGAGCCCTCCCCTTCATGAGAAGGTGACCTGTGAGGTGAAGGAGTGAGCCGTGCACTGTCTGCAGGAACAGCAACAGGCGAAGGAACGGAAGTGCTAAGGCCCTGAGGTAGGAGCATGCCTGGTTTCAAATACCAGTGAGGAAGCCAGTGCAGCTGGAGCAAGGAGGACAGGAGGAAGTCAGAGAGGTGGCGGGCAGATCACAAAGGTCTCCCCCTCCCAGTGAGGGGTCACTCTGGGTTCCACCCTAGGTCAGGGGAAGCTTCCGAGGGTTTTGAGTAGACGAGGGACATGGTGTGCCCTCCATATGCAGTAGCCAGGAATGTCTAGGTCACTGAGGTCCTTCCTGAATTCTAATCTTTAGTCCATAAATGGGTTCTGTGTATACACATACATAATCTGTGTCTTATATTGCACACATCCCACCCCTGCCATTGGCTCAGGATAAAGTGCAAACTCTTCACCCAGCTGATAGGACACTTCAGGGTCTGGCCCCTGCCAGCCTCTGCAGCCTTATCTCTTATGGCCCTAAATATACTCCACATAAACTGAAGACTCACCATGGCCTTCCTGAGTCTCCTCCCTCCAATCTCACCCCACCTCCAGTGTCTGTCCTCCACACTGAGCCTCAGTCATCTTTGTAAAACACTTAATGCTCACGTTGCCCCTTCTTGAACTATCGCAGTGGGGCCCTAAGCAAAGGAGGTGGTAGTTGCTGGGGAGAGATGCATTCTAGGTAGAGGGGACAACTTCAGCAAAGGCCCCGAGGCAGCAAAGCAGTGGTGGTTAAGTAATGATAGGTGGTCTGGAGGTCGGAGTCACGGTGTGTTGGAGAGGTGAGTGATGAGGCTAGGCAGGGAGCTGGGGGTCGCACTGCCTTCAGTGCGAGCCTGAGGAGGAAGTGGGGAGGATTGGGGGAATTTGTATCTAATAAACAGAGGAAAAGTCCTTCTGTTATGTGTGGTATCTTTGCATCTTAACGCTTTTTGTAACAATGGTTTCATCCGCTCCTCTAACCTGTGAGGTAGAACTTGTCACCTAATAAACAGAGGAAAAGTCCTTCTGTTATGTGTGGTACCTTTGCATCTTATGCTTTTTGTAACAGTGATTTCATCTGCTCCTCTAACCTGTGAGGTAGGACTTGTCACGTGTTCTACAGGAAAATGAGGCATCGCCCAGCAAACCAGTGGCAGCGCCTTGGTCTCCAGGTCCTCACCTCTTGCCCTGACCATTTCTTTCTCAACCTCTCTGCATGGCAGCTGGCAGGAGCCCGTCCCTAATCTTCACCAACCGGCACGAGGTGCGGAGGATAGACCTGGTGAAGCGGGACTACTCACGCCTCATCCCCATGCTCAAGAACGTCGTGGCGCTAGACGTCGAAGTGGCCACCAATCGTATCTACTGGTGTGACCTCTCTTACCGCAAGATCTACAGGTGAGCAGCCAGGCCTGGGCGGTGGAGCTGACAGGGGAAGAGAGGAAGGGCAGCCTCTGTGCCCTTTCTGCCCCTGGAATTCTCCAGGACAGAGTTGGGGCTTAGGAAGGGACACAGAATCACAGTGGCTATGGAACTGCAGGACCCCTCCCCTCCCCCCCCCCATACCCTCTGGCCTGGCCTTAGGCTGTGGCTCCATTGGGAGAGCAGCTTTGAGTGCCTAGTAGGGCCGTGCAAGACCCAGGAAATGCTCAGCCAGGGCAGAAAGGAAGCAGTCCCTGCCTTTGGTGAGGGCTTTCAAAGCAGCTCACAGGCCTGTGTGTTGGATCTGAGGACTCAAGGTGACGCAGATGCCTGGAGAAACCACTCACAGTACAGTGACACCCATTGTGATGATCGTGAGTCATGGGGGGATCACAGAGGAGGCCTCCGACCCCATCAGGGGGGTCAGGGAAATCTTCCCGATGCAGTCCCCCAGTCCCAGCCCTGCTCTGTGTCTGTGACACCATGATCGTGAGTCATGGGGGGATCACAGAGGAGGCCTCCGACCCCATCAGGGGGGTCAGGGAAATCTTCCCGATGCAGTACCCCCAGTCCAGCCCTCCTCTGTGTCTGTGACACCAGCCGGTGACCTTCAGGAAGCTCCTCACACACTCACCCTCTCCTCCCGCTCTTCCTCGGCTCCCACAAGCCTGCCTCCCGCATGTCCCGGCCCCTTGGGGCAGCCATAGCCTTTCTTCGTCCTGAGATCCATCCACTTAGCAGACCTGCCCATGACCAGGCACTGGGGAGAGTGTTGAAAGAATGACGGGATGGATGGGTGGATGGACAGATGGACAGATGGATGGGTAGGTAGAAACAAATATACCAAATGCTACTCACTGACAACTCAATGACTACCACCCCCAACACAGAGACACACACTCAGGTCACACACACACACACACACAGAAGCAGCTGCCTGTCCAACAGCTGTCACTGAAAGAGGCAGGATTTGGTGACAGACGAAATGGGGCTGAGGAAGAGTCAGATGAACTTCCAGGTTCATTTTGGGAGTTTTAAGTTCTGGCTCAGGAGGTGCTGTGGGTGGTGCTGTTCTCTGAGGTGGGGTTTGGGGCCGTCCAGCAGGCTGGCTGAGGGAGGGCAGTGGAGGTGAGGGGCCCTGGATGTATTGAGTTTAAGGTGTCTGGACATCCAAGGGAGACAGCTGGCTTTACAGTCTGGGGCTTCAGAGAGTGGCCGGGATGGGAGCGTCAGAGTTATGGGTGGCAGTGGGCACTAACCTCCCAGAGAGAGGTTATGGGGGAGGAGAACCCCTTGGGAGGAACAGCATTTGGGAGACGGAAAGTCCTGTTAATATTGCCTCCTGGGCGTCTACTGTGTTTCCAGCCCCTTCTCTCCATTCTCACCGCACAGCCTCCCGCAGGCCCTCTTTCTCTCTCACCTGGACACAGTAAACAGCCCCCTCCAGTCTCCCTGCCTTCATTCCGCCCTTTCCAATCCCCCTCATAGCCCACAGGTGCCACGGTGACCTCACATCCCGTCGGACCTGTTCAGTTACGGGCTCCGTGAGAAAATCCCACTCCTCGGGGGCGTGCAGAGCCCACCTGCCTCCCGTCTCATAGCCCACTACCCAGCTCCACCTCCACCGGATGTGGCCCCTTCCCACCTGCCTCCCGTCTCATAGCCCACTACCCAGCTCCACCTCCACTCAGCGTTCCAGGACACACCCCTGGGCGTTTGCATGCTGTTCTCTGTGCTCCTAAAGCACGGTCCGTCAGGACTCAACTACAAAGCCTTCTGCAACCCCCAGGATGATGCAGCCTCCGTTTCTCTGCTGCCACAGCCCCGGGTGGTTTATGGAATCACATTGCACTGTGATGGTCTGGCTGTCGATTTCTGTCCCCCACTGAAATGAACTTCTCCGGGCTGGAGGCTGTGGCTGATTCAAGCCTATACGCTTACCCCGGTGGCCCAGGGAATGCATTGAGTAGAAATTAGCTGAGCTCCTCTGAAATCCACTGCCAGCACCCAGAGGGGGGAGAGGGGGGAGAAGGGCGCACAGGCAGCTCCGGGGGACGTGTGGGTAGAGCACCTGCCCCACGGCCAGCTCTGGTTGCTCCTAGCGCGTACATGGACAAGGCCAGCGACCCGGCAGAGCAGGAGGTCCTCATCGACGAGCAGCTACACTCTCCAGAGGGCCTGGCGGTGGACTGGGTCCACAAGCACATCTACTGGACCGACTCGGGCAACAAGACCATCTCGGTGGCCACAGTCGATGGCAGCCGCCGACGCACTCTCTTCAGCCACGACCTCAGTGAGCCCCGGGCCATCGCCGTCGACCCCCTGCGAGGGTGAGTGTCCTCACCTGGGGCTTCCTGCTCTCCCACCGGAGGCCACAGTCACTCAGTCCCCATGCATCTGTCATCAGGGCTATCTTGAGGGCTTCGGAGAGCCTTAGACACAGCCCACGGGAGGAAAGTCCGCGCAGGCCCCTCAGTCTCCAGGACTCTACTGCTCATTCATCCTATCATAGAATCAGCGACAGAGCGTCTCAGAACAGAGCAGGGCCTGGGAATTGCCTGTAGACGCTCCCGGGCAGGGAGCCTGTCCTCACGCTGCAGGTGGGCCTCTGGCGGCTGCTCACACACTCCCAGAGGCGGGCTCATCATTCCCCGTCCCCTTCTCATCTGCGGACAGTTCTGCCCATTAGAAAGGATTTTCTCCCTTTGACTTCGTCCATAGTCCTGATGTAGGTACATGAGGTGAAACCAACCACTCAGCCCCGTGCCTGGCACATGGGAAGTCCTCAGTACACGTTCAGGAAAGAGAGAGAGAAGCCCTGGGCAGTCTAGCTGTGTGGCCCTGGTAGTCATCCACTTTATCCTCTGTGGACCAGAATAGTACGAGAGGGTGGGCAAGGGCCCTCCCACACTGGCACGCAGGGCTCTGGCTGAAGCGCCGGAAGGAAGAGATGGCTTCCAGGCCACCCAGCAGAGGCAGGGGGACACTCGGGGAGCACAGGCTTCCCGCACTCAGGTGAGGTGAAGGCTAAAGCACCTGCTAACGCCAAGCTTGATGATTCCCATGGATTTCAGGTCTTCCCAGCCCTTACTACGTGCCATCTTCAGCATTCAGCGAGTCGTCGGGCCCTTGTGATCCAGACCACCCAGCCACGTCCCTGACAAGAAGCCCTGTGGGTTCTTCTCTCTTTCAGGTTCATGTATTGGTCTGACTGGGGGTACCAGGCCAAGATTGAGAAGTCTGGGCTCAACGGTGCGGACCGGCACACACTGGTGTCAGACGATATTGAGTGGCCCAACGGAATCACCCTGGGTGAGCCCTGCCCTCAGATGGGGGCTGTGCTAGCACCTGGCCCTGACCAAGGCCCACGGGTCTTGTTCCTGCATCCCTCGCGGTGCCAGGGCCCGTGAGTCCTGATGGCTGCCCCGGGACAGCCTCCGTTGGAGGCCTGGCCTAGAGATGTGGGCAGGGAGGGGGCACCGAAGAGCAGAGACGCAGGCTGTGGTCCCAGGCTGGTGGCCTGATCCCCCGTCCCCTTTCTCCTCCCCAAGATCTGCTGAGCCAGCGCTTATACTGGGTCGACTCCAAGCTGCACCAGCTGTCCAGCATTGACTTCAGCGGCGGCCACAGAAAGATGCTGATTTCCTCCCCCCACTTCCTGGGCCACCCTTTTGGGGTGGCTGTGTTTGAGGTGAGCGCTGTGAGGGAGGCATGGCCCATAGGAAACCGAAGCCCAGAGAAAGTTTGCTCAGATGGGGTGGCTCCCTGAGGGCTGTCCAGATAGAAACAAGGGACAGGGGAGCCAACCGGTGTGTTTGTGTCTTTGTGAGCGGCCTCCGTGCAAAGGCTGCCTTTCCTGTGCTCCCTTCCCAAGGCCGCTCTCAGAGCAAGCGCAGAGGTAAGTTGCTAGACCACATGTGTTCTCTCTGGGAACTCCCAGCACCCAGCACTGAGCCCACATAGACAGAAGGTACCCAATTATGGGAGGGACAGAGGGGGGAAGGAGGGTGGGAGGGAGGGAGGGGAAAAGGAATCTGTATTTCCTTACAATCGTTTATTGTTGGAAATGGCCTGAAAGATACTGTTCAACTCAACATACTTTTACTGACCTTTTCTGGACCTTGGGGTCATAGAAGTGAATCAAACATTATCCCAGTCCACGAAGCTCCCAGGAGGGTGAGAGTTAAGACCTTCCTTTGTTCTGACCCTAATAACCTTTCTCCTCGGGGAACAAAGAAGCAAGAACCAATCAAGGTCTCACACATCTGCTTCTGCCCCAAAACTAACTCTGCCACCGAGGGAGGGAAGGCAAAGGGACAGTGGTCTGTGGTGGGCATTGGCAGTATTTGCTTGGAGCGACATCACCCAGCAATGCTCTGAATTTATGGGGAAGTCCAGCCCCTGCTTCAAGACAGGTGTGTTCGGACACATGTATGTGCTTGTGCATATTTGTGACACGCATGTGTAAAATACATGTATGTGCATGTGTGTACATGAATACATTTAAAAGCATGCATTCCTTGCCCTGGCCGGTGTGGCTCAGTTGGTTGGAGCATTGTCCCGTGCGCCGGAAGATTGTGGATTGTGGGTTCAATTCCCAGTCAGGGCACATACCTTGGTTGCGGGTTCAGTCCCCAGTAAGGAAGCAATCAATTGATCAATGTATCTCTCTCACATCAATGTTCTCTCTCTCTTTCTCTCTCTGTCCCTCCCTCCCTCTCTCCCTCTCTTGCTAAAAAAAAAAAAAGAAAAGAAAGAAAAGAAAAGAAAAGAAAGCATGTGTTCTTGTATATGCTGGTGCTTGTGCACGTAAATATGTATACCAATACTTACACAAGTGCTTATTTAGGTACAAGTGTGCCTCTGTGTGTGTCGATGAGCATGTGGGTATGTGTCCAGTTCTGTGCATGAGGCTACATGTTTGTTCCTGTCCATGTGGCCATCTCTACGGATGCACATCCAGGCTTGTATGGATTCACCATATGTGTTATGCCCAGAGGCTGTAGGCAGCCCAGCAGGGACTAGTCCTCAGTAGCTCACACATCCCCTCCAGTCATGGTCCTGGGCCCCAGTAATGGTAACAACTAACAGAGACCCAGGAAGCAGGCCTAGCTGAGCTCTAACGAGCAGCCTCCAGGCCAAAGCACAAAATCACCCAATGACACTCTCAGAGGGAGCCGGGCACTTGCCACAGGTCAGCGGCCACAGGAGAGCTCCGGGAGACGGCAGGGCAGTTCTTATGACCAGGCTCTGGGGCTGAACCCTCAGACTGAGGTCCTGGGTTTAGGCTCTAGGCCTCCCATCCTTTGCATTTGTGCCCACAGGACAAGGTGTTCTGGACAGACCTGGAGAACGAGGCCATTTTCAGTGCAAATCGGCTCACTGGCCTGGAAATCTCCGTCCTGGCTGAGAACCTCAATAACCCGCATGACATCGTCATCTTCCACGAGCTGAAGCAGCCAAGAGGTGAGCCTTCCCTGGCCCCAGGTCCCCTGCCCACGGCCTCTCCCTCCGCTAGGCGCAGGCGACGTATTGGCTCAGCACCCCAGGATTAATGGCAGCAACCCCTCCGGTTGGTGGAGCGCTGAGCTGTCACATGTTTTATTTCCTTTTGCCTCAAGCAGGCGCTTGGTGAAATAAGCCTGGGCATAAAGAAATAAATATATACGTGCCCTGCTGTAACCGGTTTGGCTCAGTGGATAGAGCGTCGGCCTGCGGACTGAAAGGTCCCAGGTTCGATTCCGGTCAAGGGCATGTACCTTGGTTGCGGGCACATCCCCAGTAGGAGGTGTGCAGGAGGCAGCTAATTGATATTTCTCTCTCATCGATGTTTCTAACTCTCTAACCCTCTCAGTTCCTCTCTGTAAAAAATCAATAAAATATATTAAAAAAAGAATTATCAAACACCCTCTTTTTGCCAATCCTACAAAGTGTGGGTGTTCCTGTTCTCATTTAACAATTGAGGAAGCGGGGGCTCAGAGGTAAAATATTGTTAGCTCAGGTTCCAGAACTCCTCTGCCACAAGGAGCATGCTGCTTCTCATTTAGTACATGTACCCGTTTGACAGTAGTATAAACTAGTGAATCCTGGGGCCAGATTGTAATGCAGGTGGTTGGCTGGAAAAGAAGCCAGGAATCCTACCACCTGCTGTCACCTCCTCTATCTCTAGGGTATCCTAAGTCTAACTAACTGAGGGGCTGGCTGCCAGGGTGGAGGTGAAAAGTCATAGGGGATAAGGAGATAAGGTGGGTGCCTGATCTAGATCTAGAAATTTAAAAAGGAAAGAGAAATGGCTGGTGGCATAGGGGGAAAACTTGGACTTTGGAGTCCAACAGACCTCAGTTTAAATCTGTCTCCCAAATTCCTAGAGGTACAGCCTTGACAAATATATTCTCCATGTCAGCATAGCTTCTTCTATCTGTCAGTCTGGGGCCTAATGCCCACCTCCGAGAGCTGTTGTCAGGATGAGCAAAGGCGTGGGGTCAGCCCCAGGTCCAGTGCTGGAAAGGCCTTCCTCTCTCCCTCCCCACCACTAGCTGGAGATGCCTGTGAGCTGAGTGCCCAGCCCAGCGGCGGCTGCGAGTACCTGTGCCTGCCTGCTCCTCAGCTCTCCAGCCACTCTCCCAAGTACACGTGTGCCTGTCCCGACACCATGTGGCTGGGCCCCGACATGAAGAGGTGTTACCGAGGTAGGCGGACCTGCCAGGAGGGGTGGCCTGGCCATGCCAGACCTCTTCCTGCTGACTCCCTCCCCCGGCTCCTGGGCACTGTGTGCTCCTGGGCTCCCTCCATCTGCTCTGGCTTCCTGTGGCTTTCGCGGGCTCCTCTGTTTCACCTTCCTTCAATGCTGGTGTCCCCGGGGTCCTTCCAAGGCTTTCCTCTTCTCACTCCCCCCAGGACTTTCAGGAACCCCTTTAAGACTTCAAATTAAGAACCCTCGATTGGCCCTGGCTGGGTAGCTCCGTTGGTTAGAGCATCACCCCAATATGCCAAAGTTGCGGGTTCGATCTCTGGTCAGGGCACATACAAGAAATAGCTACTGAATGCATAAATATGTGGAACAACAACTCCGTGTTTCTCTCTCGCTCTCTCCCTTCCTCTCTCTCTAAAGTCAATAAATTAAAAAAAAACCACCTTCATCCCCTTGGCGTTATCACTGTTTATATGCAGGTGGCTATGAGCTTGCCTGTTTCTTGCCCAGAACTTAACATATTACATAGGAGCCCTTTGTGACATGATTGGGACTAATAGTTCATACTTCAACCATATAAATTTCTACTCATTCCCAAGTCTTGGTGCAAGCCCAAGGCCTTTGGTTTGAGCAAATGTCCACTGTATCATTTATGATTTCCAGATGCAATTGTTTAAAGTGGAGTGAGAATTTAACCCTAAGGGTGTAACAGCATGTGTGTAAAATCCTTCTAGGTTTACATGATTTTCCCTCCTCCCTGACTTTGACAGTGGTCTTGCCCACACCTAATTCTCAGCATTGTTGTAATAGCTCATCTTTCTCAAACCAGCATGCAGTATAAACTCAGACACAGTGCTTGGAGTTCAGCTGAAGGGAAGATCACAGTCCATTCGGGGGGATTAGGGACGGCTTCCCAGAAGTGGCCCTTGAGCTGAGCCATGAGGATACGTTCATAAGTAGAGTTCATAGGTAAAGTCCATAGAGGCAATAGTGTAGGCACTAAGTCAATAAAATTCTCTGTCCAAGTGACCTCCATGGCATTTTCCCTCCAGCTCCTCAATCTACCTCAACTACGACGTTAGCCTCTACCACAGTGAGGCCCGAAGCTGACTCTGCGAGAGCGCCTGGGACCGCCATCCACAGCCCCACCCACCAGAACCACAGCACAGAGACGCCGCGCCTGGCAGCTGCAGCCCCAAGCTCAGTCAGTGTTCCCAGGGCTTCCAGCATCGGCCCGTCTACCCCAAGCCCTGCAACCAGCAACCACTCCCAGCACTGTGAGGAAATGACTTCTGCCTTCTCTCATTATATGGGAAGCCACGGCGGGGGCATCTGTGGGAAGGGGAGGTCAGACCAGAGCTGAATAGTGCGTATCTCTGGGGGGAGTGCGCACCTGTGATTTAGGAGTCTTAGGTGCCCCTAACTTACAGAGGGTCTTACAGGAAGCTACTTCCCATCTCTGAGCCTCAGTCTCCTCACCTACAAAGTAGGATAATAACAACCCTTCTCCTACCTGCTTCACAAGATTGCATGAGAGGCAATGGAGACAGTGTAATAGAAGTGCTCACACACACAGCCTCTGCTGCTCTGGGAGGTGTCTGTGTCACGTGTACTGACATGTATAGGAGGGGGTGTCCCTTAGATTTGGAAACTTCAAAAGTTCTGGTCTCAGTTCTCAACACCCTCAGTCGGTTCCTCAGATAGTAATATCCACAACTAGTCTGCTTGTGCCTCTTCCCAAACCCCGGGATGAAAGTCATTCAGTTCCCCCACTAATTAAATCATCAGGAGCAGTAATTATCGCTGCCAGAAAAGTTCTATCTCATCAACCAGCAAACGCCTTGTTAATTGAGTTACCTGCTGAGGGGAGTGATCTAAGAGGATACACTTTCCTGTACATGCGAGGCCCAGAAACCCGGCCGCTCGCTCGGCAGCACCTGGCTGGCTGGGTCTGTCCTCCCAGCAGAAGCTGGAGTTGCAGAGCTGAGCACGTACCTGCAGGTGTGAGAGGCAGGTGGACTGTGTGTGAATTCCAGTTCCTCAGCCTGGCGAAGCCTCTGAGCAGCTCGGAGAAACAGACACACTGAGAGGGTGGCACCTGGGCTGGGCCACTGTCAGGGGCCAATCATCTCTCTTGGAGCAACAGCAGATGATAGCTTCTCTTCGTGCTCAGAGGGCGTCATGAGGGAGGAATGCCTTCCAAACTACAAAGTGCATTACACACGTTACAACGAAGATGGCTGTAAGAGTGGAAAAGATGATGCAACATCCTTCTTACCAACTACAGCTCACTTTCCAAGCACTTTCGGTTCAGAATGTGCTTTTCTACACCCTATTTTATTTAGGCTTTACAGCAACCCCTCCCCCACTCCCTGCCGTCCTTGAACTAGGCAAGGCTGTGCCAGGCACTGTGCTAAGTAAGCATTTTACATGAATTATCTCATTTAGTCTGTACAGTATCCCTAGGAGGTAGGTAATATTATCCCCATTTTAAAGACAAAGAAATATATTTATGATATATAATAACTTGCCCTTGGTCACACAAATAGTGAGTAGTAGAGCTAGACTTGAACCCACGAAGTCTGACCCAGGGGCCTGTGCTCTTGATCCCACTGCATGATACTGTGTCCCACTTCAATTACGTCTTCAAAACGAATGATAGTGCAGATGGGCCGAAGGGCACTGGAAATGAGAGACGCCATCCTGCAAATGTTTGTGTTTTGCAGACGGGAACGAAGGCGGCAAGACGGGCTCAACGGTCACTGCTGCTGTCATTGGGATCGTTGTGCCCATGGGTGAGTATGGCCCCAGGTCACTGGGAGAAAAGAGAGACCTTGCCCGGGGTCTGGGGAAAAGCGCGCTTAGCAAGCGCTTAGAAGGACAGAGCGCTTAGCATGCTGACCTGCCCCTTGACCTTTTTCTGCCCTGGCAGCCTTCCTGCCCATCTCCCAGTCCTGGTTTAATTTGGTTTCTTAGTTTGGCACCACGAGGCCCTTTAGGACCTAACCCCAGGCAACCACCCAGATGCATCCCCCATTCCCCTCTCATTCACACTCTGCATCCAGCCATGGGAGCTGCACTGCAGGTTCCGTGGGACAGGGGTGGCACCTCTCATGCTCGCCCCTCTCCCCAGCTCCCAGCAGTGTCTGGCACATGGTCGGAAATAAAATATGTATTGAATTAATGAGAAGAGCTGCTTGCCATTGCTTTAATCGTGCCATCTTGCTTTCTTTCTGTTTGGTTTTCAACAAACATTGAGCGAGCAGCTACAATGTACCAGACTCTGATAAGGGGAGGGAAGGTGGTTGAAAGTGGCTAACACATGGTTCCTGCCCTCCGAGTTTATAATCTTGTTGGAGAGACACACTTAACACAGATAATTTGACTATGACATGGTAAGTCCTATAATTAAGCCATATGTGGTTCAGGAGAAGTGCCAAGGAAGCATTTAACTTAGAACTGGGAGAGAAGAGGAGCAGGCAGGGAAGGTTTCCTAGTGGAAAGTATATGTGAGCTGAGTCAGCCAAGTGAAGAAGGATCAAGAGCAACCCAAGCAGTGAAGACACCATGAGCTGAACCAGGAATGAAGTTCCTGGTTCAGGAAGTAGGAGTTCAGTATGGCCAGAATATATAACATTTTGTTAAATCTCACACAGAACCCAGGGGTTGATTCATTCCCTCCCACCGCGGTGATCACGGAGTATCCTGTGCATCCTGTCTCTCATACCTGTGTCATCTCTTAGCGGGATCTTTGGGTTGGGACTGTCCGTTCATAGGTTTATCTCTTATTGCCCATGAGTAGTACCTCAAGGACTTGGCCCACTTAACCTGGGAACCCCAATATGGTGGTGAATTAGGGAGTGAATGCTTTAAAAAAATTCTATACCGAGCAAGGGTCTGTGCCAAGGGTCAAGGATCCAAGGAAGAAAAAGAGACTTTAAGAGCTTTCAGTCCTTAATCAGACTTAGTCATAAAAGAGTCGTTACACACGCGGTATTAAAAATGTGCTGTAACTGAGGCATGGTGCCCGGGGAGGAGAGGGATGGCACTTCTGGAGAAGATGGCATTTGAATTGGCCTTGAATGGGTTCAGCAGTAAGGATGGTGGTGAGGCTATTCGAGCCTCATATTGTGTGGGGCGGATGGAAAATACTCTGAGCATCGCTTAGTGGAAGAGAAATTCACCCCTTTCCTGCATCCCGTGCTGTGTGGAGGCACATGTGTGCTATCTTCTTGACAGTAACCTGCTCTGATACAATCAACATGTTAAACTCCCACTAAACTGAGGGCTGAAAGATGAATAGTCTTTCCCTGATGTTCTCCCATCCCATAAGCTTATTGGCCATTTACATTTCATCCGTAATGAATTGCCTATTCATGGTCTTTTTTTTATTTTCCTGTTGGTTCTTTGTCTTATTCTTATTTATAGAAATGTTTATACATAGTGAATGTTAAACATGTTACAAATATTTTCTCCCATAATGCCATTTGAGATTTGTTTATGGTGTCTTTTACCATGCATAAATTTAAAAAATTTTAAGCATCAGATGTTAATCTTTTGTGTATGATTTCTGGGTCTTGCTTAGGAAGGTTTGCCTCACTCTAAATTATTAAAATAGCTCTCTACATATTTTTCTGCTACTTTAAACATATTTTAGTATTTAGATATTAATACATTTGGAACTTATTTTAGAGTCTGGTGTGAGGTAGAGATTTAACTTATTTTTCCTACATCCCTGTCTGGTTTTCCCAAGACCATGACCGAGTAGTTCGTCTTTTCCTTCTGACTTGAATGATCACCTTTATTATAAACTACGTGCCTGTGCAGACTGTGATGTGCTTCTAGGCTTTATTCTCCCCACCAGTTCTGTCTATTCCTACATACTAGAAGCACAACTTTGTGCTCTGTCTTAATATCTAGTAGGGCATTATTATTCTCACAACATTTTCCTAGCTAGCTATTTTTTAATTTAATCTTTATTGTTGAAATATTACATATGTTTCCTAGCTATTTTTTATTTAATTTCTCTTTGCGATGAACTTTAGGGTCGTCTTGTTAATCCATAAAGATTATGCTGGACCCACCAGTTCTGTCTATTCCTACATACTAGAAGCACAGCTTTGTGCTCTGTCTTAATATCTAGTAGATTCTCACAACATTTTCCTAGCTATTTTTTAATTTAATCTTTATTGTTGAAAATATTACATGTTTCCTAGCTATTTTTTATTTAATTTCCCTTTGCGATGAACTTTAGAGTCGTCTTGTTAATCCATAAAGATAATGCTGGAGCCCTGACCGATATGGCTCAGTGGATAGAACGTCGGCCTGCGGACTGAAGGGTCCCAGGTTCGATTCCGGTTAAGGGTATGTACCTTGGTTGCAGGCACATGCCCAGTGGGGAGTGTACAGGAGGCAGCTGATCGATGTTTCTCTCTCATCGATGTTTCTAACTCTCTATCCCTCTCCCTTCCGCTCTGTAAAAAATCAATAAAATATATTTTAAAAAAATATTGTGCTGGAACCCATTTTTGCCCAGCTCTGTTCGAGAACTTCCTCCTGTGCGCTTAACATGCTGATTTATTCCAACTCGGAGCCGGGGTTTCCCTGCTCTGTCTCCTAGAGATGCTCCTCTTCTTGCAGAGCCCCTCGAGTTTGGCGGGAGAACAGTTTTCTTAGAGAAATCCAGGGAAGCAGCAGCATTCAGGCAAAGGTGTGGTGAAGAAGTTCACTCATTCACTCAGCACGAGTTACCGAGCACCTACTCAGGGCAAGGCACTGGGCATAGAGAGAGAAAGAAGACACAGGCCCTGCCCTCAGAGAGCTCGGCCTAGTTGAGGTACATAAATGTAAAGCACGATACCATGGCCTGGGAACACGTGGAAGGGAGCAACAGAATCTAGCTGAGAAGCTGAGCAAAACTTCACATTTGAGCTGGATTTGAAGGATGAGTGGTTATGAAAGAAGACGTGGGAGAGGGCTTCCAAGCAGCAGAAACAGAGCCTAAGGCACAAGGGCAGTCGGGTTAGAGGGGTGGCAAGGGAAGAACTGCCATCTAAGCAACGGGCTGGAGGTCAGTGCAACGTGTCTCTCTCTTCAGCGGTGATAGCCCTCCTGTGCATGAGCGGCTACCTGATCTGGAGAAACTGGAAGCGGAAGAACACCAAAAGCATGAACTTTGACAACCCCGTGTACAGGAAAACAACCGAGGAGGAGGATGAAGATGAGCTCCACATCGGGAGGGCTGCTCAGATTGGCCATGTCTACCCTGCAGTAAGTGTTCCTTGCTGGAAGAAGTCCTCCCTCCCTCCCTCCCTCCCTCCCTCCCTTCCTCCCTTCCTCCCTTCCTCCCTTCCTCCCTTCCTCCCTTCCTCCCTTCCTCCCTTCCTCCCTTCCTCCCTTCCTCCCTTCCTCCCTTCCTCCCTTCCTCCCTTCCTCCCTTCCTCCCTTCCTCCCTTCTCCTTTCCTCCTTCCTCCTTTCCTTCCTTCCTCTCTCCCTCCCTCCCTCCCTCTCTCCTTTCCTTCAAACACTTATCAAGAACCTGCCATGTGCCAGGCACTGTTCTAGGCCCCGGGGACACGGAGATATTGGGGCAAGTAGCTGGGGTAGTAGGTAGCAGGCTTCTCCTGGAAGTAAAGACACCAAGTGCCTGTCTTTCTGCCGAGTGAGAATGCACTTGCTCCCAAGGAGCGGGCGGGAGTAAGAGATCTCACTTCTTGTTGCACAGCTGTGTGCCAAACGCCATGGTGGACGCTCAGGAGTCCCTCTTCCAGGAAACTTTCCCTGGCTTTCTCTGTTCTCCCACAGCCGCTCTCCATCGTAGCATGTCACACTCTGGTCAACTGGTGTTTTTACTCTTTGGTCTTCCCCTAGACCAGTGGTTCTCAACCTTCTGGCCCTTTAAATACAGTTCCTCATGTTGTGACCCAACCATAAAATTATTTTCGTTGCTACATCATAACTGTAATGTTGCTACTGTTATGAATCGTAATGTAAATATCTGATATGCAGGATGGTCTTAGGCGACCCCTGTAAAAGGGTCGTTCGACTGCCAAAGGGGTCATGACCCACAGGTTGAGAACCGCTGCCCTAGACCGTGAGCTCCTTGAGGGTAGGACGATCTGACTAATCTGTTTCCCTGATGCCCGTGCAGCATAGGTGGCTCCCAGTGAATGTTTGTTGAACAAATCAACAGGGAGCTGTTAATTCGGTTTGGGGGCTTTGGCAGGGAGCACCTCACGGAGGAGGTGACAGATAAGCTGAAAGAGTAATAGTTTTCCAGGTAGAGAAGGAGGAAAATGGCATTCCAGAAAGAAGCACGTGCAGAAGCTGAGGCACAACAGGGCGTGGCTTGTTGGGGGAGCAAGGACTGCCAAGTGGCGGAAGCAGGTGCCATGGTTGTATAGCAGTGAGGGGGCTGAGTGCAACCTCATAGGTCATCCAGTCCATCCCCCCGTCAGGCAATCAGCAGCTTTGATCGCCCACTGTGGGCAGAGCCCTGTCTTGGGGAGACCAGAGAACTGGAGGACCCAGCCCCTGCCCTCAAGGAGCTTTTGGTCTTGCCGGGAGAACCAAGGTCACAGCTGCACCAACTCCCGAAGAACCCTCTTTCCGAGCTGCCTGTCGTCAAGTGCAAGGTAGGGCAGTGCCACTCTGAGTCCGAGGGGCTGACGAGTGAGGGTGTGAGCCCAGGCAGGTGCAGCCGAGCCTAGAAGGCGTTCTGGCCATGGAAGGCTGCCACCTGTACGCCGGGTATTGGCGCCAAGAGAAACGATGGGGTAGGTACAGACTGAGGAAATGGCATGTGGAAGAAATGATGAGGATGAGCAGGGCAGACAGATGATGAAACCAAGGCTCCGAGAGGTGAATGGTTAGCCCAAATTCACATAGCTCAGAGAAGATAGTGGAACATGGGTCTGTCCAAAGGAGGGCATCCAGGAAACGGATGAGTGGGAAACAGGATTACAACAGGACCAGCGGGGGAAAGCTAGATATGTAGCCAGAGAGGAAAACATTCCAAAGGAAGGGAACTCAAACACTGCAAATTTCAAGTGTTGTCTGTGTAGAACTATCTGAGTCTAGGAGAGAATCAGGGAACATGGGAAGATAAAGAAACAGATTTCATGTCAATATAGGAGAGCATTGAAGCCCACTGTCCACAACGGAATAGGCTGGCTCCGGGATTAGTAGATTCACCATCCAGTGGTCAGGCATTTGTCACAGACGGAAGTCTAGCAGCTAATGGCTAGAAAGTAGGGGTGAAGGAAAGAGGTCCTGAGTTTCATTGACCTGCATTGCCTTCCAGTTCTGTGTAATCAGTTGGAAGGGGTGCAGCAGATTGCCTTCCCAGCTGTGACTAACATGCTAGAGCCAAGCAGCTGATGACCGGAGGTTAAACATATGCCAAAACGAACCCAAAACATATGCAAACCTAAAATCCTATAAGAAAGGCTTGAGAGAGTTTAGCTCTCTGCGGCCCCCCTTGACAAAGAGGCAGAACAGAATAATGGAAAAAGCTAAAGCTCTGGGTTCACAGAGACTTGGGTTCAAATTTTAGTTCACCCACTTGCCACGCGATCCAGGACAGATGTTTAAGCTCATTAAGTCTCAATTTTCTCATCTGTAAAATAAATATGAGAAACCTGTCTCGTGGGGGTAGCTTGGAGATTATGTGAGTCAATGCCTGTAAAGTACTAGTAATAGGATGTCTGGCCCTTAGGCAGACTCAGCAAATAATTCCTGTGGTTCTAACAATGATTTCTTTGTGTCTCCCCAGCGAGTGGCATTAAGCCTTGAAGATGATGGACTGCCCTAAGGATGGGACCACTCCCTTCATGCCTCACGGAATTCAGTTCCATGCACTACACTCTCTGGATGGTGTATGCCTGGACGGAAGGATTTCTGTATGGGTCTGTGTGAGTGTGTGCGTGTCTGTGTGTGCGTGTATGATTTTAATTTATGTTGCAGAAAGGTAACCACAAAGTTATGATGAACTGCAAACATCCAAAGGATGTGAGAGTTTTTATATGTATAATGTTTTATACACTTTTTAACTGGTTGCACTACCCATGAGGATTTCATGGAATGGCTACTGCTGAGTGACTAACATGATGTACATAACCAAATGGGGCCGATGGTACAGTAGCTTACTCATCATTTAAAAACTATATTTACAGAGAGAATATTTGATTTCGGGGGGGCTTTTTTAGGTTTTGGAGTTTTGGGGTTTTTTTTGTAAATAAAATGATTATGCTTTGTGGCTATCCATCAACATAAAAAAGAAAAGAAAAATAAGCACCTCAACTCCCTCCCCAATTTAGATTATTTATTAACAAACTTCATAAATAAGATTAGTTCTATAAATCATTTAGAGACATGAGAGTATTTATTTTTGGTATGATTGGCCCACCACACAGACTCTGTGTGCATTGTGTTTGTCTGCATGTGTGTGCAAGAGAAAACTCTAGAGAAGAGGCGCACCTATGGCGGTTGTTCGATAGATATATTTTAAGCCAGTCCACAGAGGGTATCTGGAGTTTTCAGAGAATTAGCCTTTGGAACTCTGGCTCAGAGAACAGACACCATGGTGTGTGCAAACATGTAGCGGCAGAGGCGGAACCTCCCCAGCTCTGGCTATTCCTGGGACCCGACTCGGGAAAAGCCCTTCAGCTCACCCGTGGCTGCTGGGACTCCCCCCTGGGCTTTCTCTTATGTGGCTAAGGCCAGCGTACAGACTTTACACGGTGCCAGAAGTCCTCGTGAGCTCAGGTGAGAACATGCCTAAACCTTGGCTACTCCTGTTTTAAAGTTCAGCATTTCAAGTAACTTCATTTTCCTTCAGGACACTTGGGTTGAATTCATTAAGGTTGAATTCCTTACTGATAGAGAGCTAAGTGGAGATGTTTCCAGAACAGCCCAAGTTTACTCTAGGGACTGGCTTAGGCACAGAACCCCTGGGATGCACTATGGATGAGGATAAAGATGGTGGAATAAGTTTTGTTACATCTCCATCTCTCCCTTCCTTACTCTCCCATTTCCTTTAGGTGGGGAAGAGTAATACTTAGGTTTGTTGCCATCATGTGTTCGCATAGATGAAACTAATGTGGGGCTTAAGGCAGTAAAGGTGGACAAACCTAAAGTCCTATTTGAGGGGGAAATGGCATCCGCAATATTATAGGACACTGGATATATGTTCACACAGAAGTTTGGTTTACTGCTTTGTAAATAAAAGGAAGAACTCTAGGTCTATGTACAGCTTTGCTTCACCATGGACACTTCCTTTGCCTCTCCTGGGCCTTGGGGTGGCGGGGAGAAGTGTTCATCTCTCTTTGTGGGGTCTACCATTAAAAACATAATCCAATAGTCCCAGAAGGAATTCAGTCCCCGCTGGCTCTATCGTCCAAGGTCTTTTCTTAACTCTGCTGTTCCACACTGTACTCCCACTGGACAACCAGGAACAAGATGTGACACAGCGTGTTTGGCTTCAGTAGGGGCAGAGGACATGTACCTAACCTCAGCATACCTGGAACTTGGCCCATGTAAGCAAATTCCTCTCCCCTACTTCCAAGTTGCCCCCAACTCAGTAAACCTTGGATGTCTCGCCCATTGCTACCCTTTGAGTTTCCAGACAGACATTCTGGAGTTCTGTCACCCTGTTCCTAGGACCTTTCTTTCTCTCCGTCACTCATGATCTGCTAGATTCTGGGAAAACAACCGTATTCTGGAGCCTGGGCACTATGCTTTGAAAAAACAAGCAATTTCCTCATGATATGTATGTGCTGATAGTCCTGAAACGTCCATTAAGAGGGAAAGATGCATTGACTTAGAATGACTGTTACCAAATAGAATTTTAAAAACATCCGGCCAACTCCTATGGAGCTTAATCACTTACTACTATTCTTTCAAGAATAAAAAGTAAAATAATTTTTGACTGGAGAAAAATTATGAAAGTGAAAAGTCATTGAAATTTACACAAAAACAAGCAACTTTTTCTGTAACCTGCCTCCAAAGAAATAGAATTTCCTGGGGAAATTATAATAGTGTCTAATGCCTAATATCTAAACTTTCAGTCAGATCCTGGCCTTCACAGAAAAAATAATGAATGGGATCAGGATGATTCAGCCTGATATCTCAAAATGAAGATGAAACACAACTTTCTCAGAGATACCCATGTTTTCTGAATATGCTGCAACTGCAGTTTGAAAGAGGCAGCTATGGGAGCAGCCTACAAAAAACCAAATTGTGGAATACTCACGTGTTGGATGGTAGTAACGTAGATGAAATCCGAGGACTCAAGTCCATCCTCTAGCCCTGAAGGCTTTAAGCGTCATTCTGAGGTTTAGTTGCATTTCTGTTGCTTTTTGCCCTGATGCCGTCATATACCAACAGTCGGGAACAGGTCAGAGAGTCATTGGACTATACGTAGAGCTGGAGGACGCTTAGAAACAACACCAAGAGGGCAGAAGGTGTATCAGACCATTGTTCTCTATTTAAAAGAAACGCTGCGGTCCTTTTCCTCCCTTTTCTTCTCCAGTTGACTACTTTGCACTGCCTGAACATTGAACCAAACCTGCCACCTATCTTTCCAACAGGATTATGAAGGCACTGGCAGAAATGGCCTTCCAGAAACAGGGAAAACTACAATGTCATTTATTTACTTTTGATGGCATGATTATTTTAAAAATAGATGGAGATAACCTGTAACCTCAGGATGAGATTGGATTTAAATTTATGGCAATAAACACTGTGGATCCCTCCAATTCTCTCTTGGCGATTGCAATATATGCATTCAATGAACCCATTTGCTAGGTATCAGCTAAGTGTTGGGCACTGCAGAAGTATAGGTCAGTCAAACATTTTCTGTCCCTGTGGCACTCACAGTGGCAGTAGAGGAAGACGTGGAAACAAAAAAAGAATAGATTCTTTTCAGAATAATGTTATGATACTAAGTGGTCATTTCTACCGAAGGAGATAATGGGGTCAAGAAAGCCACCACAGGAGAAGTGACCTTAAGTCTTAAAAACTAAGTAGGGATGTCAGGCTGCTTCAGGCAGAAGAAACACAACTAAGACACAGAGGCATGAAACGGCATGGGGACTTTCATGAACTGCATGTAATTCATTACAATGAGCAAAAAGCTCAAGGGGGACGTAGCAAGCAATGAGCTGGATGGAAAGACAGGTTCAACATAAGCACTTTATAGAATACTCCTATTTAACTTCTGATTTAATTAAGCAAACATTCCTTGGTCATTCACTGTGTGCAAGGCACCAAGTGCACGGGAAATTCATCAGGATGTGTTGCCAGCACTTGGAGACATGACAGTCTTGAGCCTCAAGCTTTCCGGTGGCCAAAGAGACACAGTGACTGTTTTTCATATATTCGAGTTGAAGTTTTGTGATATGGTCTATGAAAACTAATATAAGGGCAGTGGGATTTTCACAGAAGCATTCCATGTTGCCAAGAGCCTCTGAGATTTCTTCCACAGAGAGAAAGAAAACTGGGAGTTTTGAAGACGTGGAGTTTGCAGAGGGGACCCCAAGAACTGTCCAGTCTGGCGCTTGTGGGAACTGGGGAGAGGGCACAGGAATGTGAGCCTCCCCACCTCACTCCCTAACGTCAGCCATACACTCATTTCACAGAATAGAAATGGTTAGCAGTTAACCGGCTCAGAGTAAATTATCTCCTTTCCCATCAATGCATGAAGATAAGGTATTGGAGTCTTTTTACATGGTATTTTTAGAGTATTGGGGATTTTCAGGATATGGAGAACTTAGAGGTGGAGGAATTACAGCTTCAAATTTCCAGTCAATAAAAGAAATCAGGAATCCCTATTCATTCAGGCTATGCACCATGTGCATAGTCAGGAGTCAGCAGAAACCCTCTGTATTTGCAAACACTTTGTGCTATAAAAAATAATTTTAAAAGAGCCACCTGTATATGTATATATTTAAAGACATGAAGGTTTTGATACTTTTTTACAAAAATTACAAGAGAAAACAAATACCTGTACAAACCATGTGTTTTAAAATAGCATTTTGTTCTATACAAGCTGTTGTTAATTTGGGGGTGAAGTACTGTTTCGCAAACTCCATCACATTGTACCCAAACGAATTTTCCCTGTTTGTCTCCCTCCCCCCCCCACACACACATGTCCCCAAATTACCATATCTGATGTTTGATGTAACAGGCATGTTAGAATGTTGGGTCACACTAACCATCCCTGCTCTCTTTGTCTTATTCCAAATTCCATTGTCTTCTGTCCTCAGTCCCCTTTGCAGTCTGGCCTCTCTTCCAGAGGCAACGGGTGGTGTGCTGCGTCTCACTAGCTGTACCGGCATCATCTTGGTGAACTAAAAAGCAAATGTGGACATTTGTAAAATCAGTGCACTGTTTCTAGAGAAAGATTAAATTCCTTTTTTAAAATCTGGAAGTATTGTTTCATTGTGATGCTATAATGAGGGGAGTGTGAATGGTCACTGACTGCGTCCCTAATGTGTACCAGTATTCCACATAAATCACCTTGATCTTCATCAACAATCGTGTGACGTAAATACTGTCAATATTATAATCCCCATTTTATTGAGGAGGAAATGGGTGAAGGAACTGCCCAAAGTCACACAGGTATGTTTAACGCCCCCGAAGTACATGCAGCACATGTAGTGCTCATGTGCATGTGGCCTTCTCTCCCTAGATTTTCCTTCTCTGCCTCCATCTGGCAACTCGTTTGTCCTTGAGTACTCCAGCAAGCATTCTCTATTCTCACACCCAGACCTAATGAATAGGCTTAGGTAACCTCTGCTTCCACCACAAATTTGGCCCACGTGTATCCCAATTCGTCTGCCCTGCTCCTCACTCGTGACCATGCCACTGAGGTCGCTTTTACCAAGGTCACCAGGACCTCCCTGATTATAAATACTTTTAGTCCTGTCTTCCTTGACCTTGGAAGGGGTATTTAACATTGTTGGTACTCCTTTCTTGGGATACTCTTATTTTGGTTTGCATGACACCATACACCTGGTTTCCCCCCACCCCCTCTGGCTACATCTTAATCTCCTTTGTCCACCCTTTAAATTATGATATTCCATCTCAAACCCATCCACATTTTAAAAAAAATTTTTTTTATTGAATCTTAGAGAGAGGGAGAGGGAGAGATAGAAACATCAATGATGAGAGAGAATTATTGATCAGTTCCCTCCTGCATACCTCACACTGGGGACCAAGCCCACAACCCAGGCATGTGGCCTGACCGAGAATCGAACCGTGATCTGTTTCATAGGTCGCTGCTCAACCACTGAGCCACACCAGCAGGGCTAATCTTTGCATTTTCCAATCCAATCTGCAACATTGCCACCAGAGTGATCTTTCAAAACTGCAGTAGGTCATGTCACCTGTTTAAAGCTCTTCATCTGTTTCCCTTGCATTAAAATCCAATGCCCTTGGGTTTTAGCCTGAACTTCTTAATACGTCTTGTAAAGAACTTTGTGGTTTAGCATCTGTCCCTTCTCAAACTTGTTACTATAGTCACCACCTCATTCTGTGTTCTAACCACACAGTCTGGGCCCTCTCTCTGGAGCACTTCCTTCAGGGCCTGGGTCAGGAGCCACTCCACAGTGTTCTGTGCTCCCCCAATGTGTACCCTTTATCTCCACATGGCAATTGCTCCGGCGGAGGGGGCGGGGCTGCGCTGACCCCGCCCCCGAGCGAAAGGGGCGTCGTTTCCGCCG